TTAAAACCAGAGCGGTGGGAGGCAGAATGGCGGCTCGGGCTATGTGTTCACCTGTGTGAACGTTCTGTGTAACTTTTACAATGGGAGAGTTTGTGAATGGCAGGAAGAGGAGCAGTTTTCTCTTCCCTTTATTATTTCTCTTTCTGTTTACATATTTATTATGCTGAGGATGGAACTCGGTGCTCTGTGAACACGGGGCAAGTACTCTTACCCCTAATCACATGAGGTAATTTCTTAAGGGGAACTCCCTAGGCCTGGGCTGCAGCTCTGTTGTAGGTGCTTGATTAACACGTGCGGGGTCTGTATTCAGTCCCCAGCACTGAGAGAAAACATAAATGAGTCTCCTCCAGTTTTAACTTTCTATACCTCTTTCCTTTGGGGAAAACCTGAAGCTTTCCTTGTATTCTCCACGGCGTAAGACAGGACGCCCCACCTGCTCGTCTTGAGTTTAACAGGTGAGAACACTCTTATTCCAAGTGTGTTTCAAGTTTCAAAGCATTTTTTTTCACGTTACAAAGCAAAACAAAAACCCCTCTCTCTTTTAATGGTCTCAAAGTTAACCCCCTCAAAAAATAAAGGCACCCCCAAAATAAATACAGGCAGTGTCTACAAGCTAACCTTATCTAATGACTTCAGGGTCCATGGGACAGGACAAAGTTTCCAGAATTGCTCTTGAGAGCTGGAGACAGCTGCAGTCCTCACAGGAGTGGGGCTGCAAGTCATGGAAAAGCGTCAGCGTTTTAGTTTGGTTCATTAAGGATGCACTGTCTCCCTCCGGTCCTACAAAACCCACCAGAAGCATTTGATTGGTTCTTACACTGTGAGACAGTTCTCTGGGCAGTTAATTAGGAGCTGCAGCTTTTTCCAGGCTCAGGGAGTTTTGCAAACTGCTCAGCAGAGTGTCTGCTACACACCTTGTAGAAAGAAGAAAGGCTGCCTAAGCTTGTGAAGGTTCCCACAGAAAATCAACATTGAAAGAGCGATCCGATACCTAGGGACAGTATGTGGAATAAGGTTGTTTAAGTTAGGCATTGCCGGGGCGGTGGTGGCGCACGCCTTTAATCCCAGCACTCGGGAGGCAGGGCCAGGTGGGTCTCTGTGAGTTCGAGGCCAGCCTGGGCTACCAAGTGAGTTCCAGGAAAGGCACAAAGCTACACAGAGAACCCTGTCTCAAAAAAAAAAAAAAAAAAAAGAGAGAGAAGTTAGGCATCTTGTTAGTTAGTGGGATGAGGGCAGAGCAGGGAAGATGATACAGACCACCAATAAAAGTCATTTTTAAAAGCTGGTTTAATGTGTCATCAAAAAACATCAAAATGGGGCTGGAGAGATGGCTCAGAGGTTAAGAGCACTGGCTGTTCTTCTAGAGGTCCTGAGTTCAATTCCCAGCAACCACATGGTGGCTCACAACCATTGATAATGAGATCTGGTGCCCTGTTCTGGCCTGCAGGCATATTGTATACATAATAAATAAATCTATAAAAAAAACCATCAAAATGCCACTTCAGCAATGATCAGTAATAATGACTACTACTAAAATAGTATTTATGTATATATGTATGTATTTATTACTGTCAAGAGAAGTCTTCCTGGGCATGCTGTGATGGACCAGCATTAATCCAAGCCCAAGACCAGGCACTGGCAGCTGGTCATCCCAGGGGTGCTGGACCACTACATCACCAACTCAGTTCCCACCATCCCTGGGCCTGCACAGTGACCTTGACTGGAATCTTCATTCGTGTGTGAAATGTTTGCGCCAACTCCTTTAGCTGTTTACTCAGGGTTAAAGGCCTAGCAAGAACCGATGTCTGTCAGCTCTCCTGAGGTGTGTGGAGAGGCCTGTCTGTCCACTGGCAGTCCCTTTCTCCCGCTATTTCCCCCTACAATGGGAAGGAATCGTTTTGTACATTGGGAGGTGTTGCTGAAATTCTTTCCTGGGGGAAACAACGTCTGTCCCTCCTTCTACGGTCCCAGAAACAAAATAATTCACTCTGTGCCCAAATTCACTCTGAGAACCAATGAATCTATTGGGCTTCCTTACCAGCATAGGTAATGGGTTATTTACAGGAGTGTGGGTACCCCCCACCCCAATAAAAGGCCACACACATCTGGAAAGCTTTTACCCAGCAAGGATGATGGCTTCTCCGTGGCTGCCTCGATGGAGCTTCTCCTCGTCTTCCCCAGCCGACATACTCTATCTAGCCCTCCCTAAGGCCACGCGCAGTTAAGGCAGTGTTGTGCGATATTCAGTAGGGAACAGCCGGATACTCAGGCGAGGGTCCACTCTCCATACCTCTCCATGATGGTGTGTGTGGGGGGGGGGGTGTTAGGAAGTCCAGCTAGGATGACCCTTTTTTCAAGCGTATCCTCAAGGCGGCAGCAGCTTGGCTCAGAGGATAGGCCACTTTCCCCAGAGTCTCCTTCTCTAACATTCTACCTCTGTTCTGAGGCCCATGATTCTGCTTATGGTCAGCACTTTCAAAAACAAAGATGGAAAAGCTTTTCTTCCTTCCCATTCCCGTATATAAAATGGCTCTTTATTGAACCCTAACCCAGCTGATCACGCCAAGGGCAGGCCTCTTCCACCTCTAGCCACTTCTTCCTCCGCGTGCTTCCTTCAGCCCCTTAGCTGACGGCAGGCATCCTCCCTGAGCCTGACACACAATGATCTCCCCCTCTTCTTCAACTTGCTAGTAAACTCTAATCTATCCTGAGAGTCCAAATCTCGGGTTTCGGCACTGGACACTCAGCTAACTCCTACCCTAACCTCAGGACCAGGTTAAAGGCCACATTGTCTGATTCTGTAGTCACAGACATCATGCTTAGCAGGTTCCTGTTATTACGAAATAGTGCCTGCTTCCTTTACTGAGGGAGAGCTACCCACCACCCCCACATTCCCCCAGAGTGTTCTTGAGTGAGAGGAGTAGGAAATATTAGAAGGATTTAGAGTGCGGAGATAAACAGATAGAAAATGCAGGATAGCCCTGTGAGTGCCTGGAACCTATTCCAACAGGCCCAGACTGTCTCTGCCCTAAGGTATTTATAGAAACACCAAGGGGTGGAGCAAAAGACCTCCCCCCCAGCACAGCCAAGTGCAGACCATCTCAGACACCTGCACTCAGGCCTGTGGCCCTAATCATCCTTTCTATGCAGACCTGCTGGGTAAAGCCACTAGGAACCTGAAAATGGGTTCCCACAACTAACCTGCCAATGCTACGACAAAAGGATTTTGTTTTCTGTTCTCATCATTAAACTTTCAGTGCCTAGCACCATGAGCAGGATAAACCCTTTCTAATTATCAGGCATCCCCTCTTATTACAATCTTTAGTCACCAGGTTTGAACTTTGTAATATTTGTAAGATTCCTTACCCCAGTAACTGAAAAGAAGGGAAAATCGATCTGTTCTTCTAAAGGGTTAATATGTTTCTTTAACAGGATAATTGGGTCTGGAAAACAGTGGTTGAATCTGGAATAATAATAATAATAATAATAATAATAATAAAAACAAAAAACAAAATGAAAACAACCCAATAGGATTTAAAGCTAAAATTGTACAGCTCAAGTTCAAACAGACATTCTAAAAGGTTCCTCACTTGGATGGGAGGTCTGACTTGCATAATGTGCACATAGTTCAGGAATGAAGAAGTACGCTTTTAAAACGAGTTCTACCTGCTCACAAGGCCTCTTTTTCCATCAGTAGAAATCAAGCTTAATCTTTCCACTTATGTAATTGTCTTTTGGTTCAGGCCATACTTTTCTTCTGGCAGTCATTCAGATACCGTATTATTCATACATCTCCCAGCATTACCTCGAGGGGCAGGTATAGGATTTGCTATAAATAGATGGGGCTCAACAACACGGCAGACTAGTGGATACATGGTATGGAGCAAACAGCACCTCAGAAAGCACTCTGGGGCATGAAAGGTGGGCTTCCGGATCCTCTTTGGGGAAGGGTTCCTCATTTGCTCCCATGGCAGCTCAAAAGTGGTTCTCTCACAGTGCTGAGTTATCACCTTTGCCTTGAGGAACATAGGTGTGGCGTCAGTCGACGGCCTACCACGGTGACAGTGCATTCACCAAGGGTTTCGGGGCTCACAAAGAGGAAGTCAGGGCCACACAGACGCCCTGTTCTCCCGCTTCCTTCAGCGTAGGAAGCAAGACTATCGGGAACTCCTCATTTAGTTCTTACAGCCGACAAGCACATGACCGCACCAGGAGCCTGCTCTGCACTCAGTATTCTCTGGCGATATGAAAAAACTATATAACTGTCCCAACTTTCAACAAGTTGCTGAAAGTTGACAACTAAGAACAAAATAAGTAAGCACGGAACAAAGTGGGGCCCGGGTCCTTTGGTTCTTCCTAACATATCGCAGAGGAGCTGTCTCCTCAAGGAGGTGACCGTTTGAGCTCTGTTAGGTGAACGCTTGAAGAGGACCGTGCCATTTATAGTACATTATCCAGCACGTACGTCACCAGCTCTCACTGTGCCACAGCCCCTGCTTTATTTGGAAAGGGCTCCAGGGTCGTTTTACCCAGTGGCCACAGCCTCCTGCTGACTGACTCCCTCAGGGCTGTTTACTTTGTTTACTTCGGGGAGCCCAGCTCTCTGCTGCCCATGACCCTGAAAGCAGAAGTTTGCTTCCCGACTCTGCCTTCCATCATCTGGTCCAGTAGATGGGCTCCTCTTAACTGGGAAGTGTCTGTCTGGATGGCTTTCCTTTACTTTTCCTCTCTCCTTACTTACCCCTCCCAGCTGATCTGCCTCCTAGACAGTGAAAAGAAGGTTTGCAGTGGGGGCTCAGTCTACACAGGAGTCAGGCAGGCAACAGGAACCCCCAAACGCTGGTTACACACCCTACACCCCCTCCTGTGTTAGCCTGAACCAAACCTTCCACTAACTAGTTCAGGAGGGACGCACAGTGAAAAATGCCCGAAATGCAACCCAAGGTTTGTTCTTGGTTAATAAGAAGTAAAAAACACTGTTGAGACAGCAAGAGTTTATAAAGCCAAAACAATGGGAACAAAACCATTTATTTTAAAACCAGATTAACTGTAAGTAATTTTCTCTTGAGGGACAAATGGGCTCTCAAGAACTCCTTTAGGTCCATGATTGAGCCAAATTAAAATTACATATCAAATCACAAAATGCTTTTAATTTAAATAGTCCATGCTTAATAATAAAAGAAACCTTTAAAATATTAATACATTGTAAGGCTCAACTATTACTAAATCCTCAGAGCCGAGCAAATCAATAATAGAAAATAAAAATGCTGTGTTAAATTATTTTCTTCTAAGTGTATGATCTTTTGGCAGATTAATAGTTCACAACAAATCATTATGCTTTGTATTTTTGTAAAATACAACAGAACCTAAATTAGGTCTAATAAGTTATAACATGCTCCTTAAAACTGAACACTAGGAAAAACTGACACATTGCTAAAATTTTGCTCAATGACTATTTTTAGATGGTGATTAGGTAATTTCCTACAGTTATTTTAATGCAACATATAGATAAAACTTTCTCTAACAATTTTAATAAAAATTGTTGGAGAAAGGAAAATTGGAGGAAGATAACTAATTATCACAATTGCCGAAAATAAAATTCAATAAAATCAAGAACAAAATTTAGATTAAAAGTTGAGCTGTTATAATTTAAAAAAAAAAACCAAGCACCATAATTTTTGGTAACTCTGTGCACCTTCAATTGGCTCAAGAGTTAACCCTATTCTAATATATGAATTTAATAAGTGTTTCCTTCAAGTGTTTTCCCACTAAACAAGCACACAAGTGTGTGTGTATATATATAACAGAAGGACCCATATCTCCTGGTGACAGATGACAGGAAGCCCTACAGAGCAACTACTTTTCATTTGACTTAATTTGACAAAGTTGCTTGAAAGCAGCAAAAGTTACATTGTGTGCCATCTTGGTGCACAGGCAGATTAGAATGTATTTTCAGAATATTTTTCAATCAGGAAGATTAACTAATTGTAGCAAAATTTTACACTACTTTGATACTCAAAACTTTAATTAGAACTGTGCATGTTGGCTTACACCTACAATCTCAGAATTTGAGAGTCTGAGGCAGGAGCATTGCCATGAGTTTGAGGCCAGCTTGGACTACATAGTGAGACTCTGTCTTTAAAAACCAACCAAAAAAACAAAAGAGAATAAAAGAACTCATTAGGATACAGATGGGGTGTGTGTGTGTGTGTGTGTGTGTGTGTGTGTGTGTGTGTGTGTGTGTGTAACTTTATAAAAATAAGCAAGCTATTTGTTTCTTAAACTATATAGATAAACTAAAATATTCTAGAACATGATCTGAACTTAAAAACAGAGAAAACAGAAACCAGCAACTTCATGCATGTGAGTTAGCCAGCTGAAGAGTTCTTTCAAACACACCCTGTCTCTTTCAAGTACAAAGCCTCTGAAGACAGTTTTATTCTCCCCAAACCTGCTAAGCAGAATTCCGCAGTTTCACTTAGTCATTAATTAACAGGGAGCTTTGCTATTCAAATCAAAGGCTGCTGCTCTTTTCTTATTCAATTAATTGACACTTTCCTTTTATGTTCCTTGTGCAATAAGATACACCAGGAAAAGTTCCTGCTCCGCAGATGTACAATACATTACTATTTAGATGACAAAGTGTTAATAAAGTTTTCAAGGTCTGCTAAAGAATTGTGAAGTTCGTCGTTCATATCGTGACTTCTAAGAAACCTTTTAAGAGTGCCTACAGCTTCCATTGCTTCATTCTTGGATGGTAAGGGAAGGTCCACTTCTGGAGCTCCGCTGTCCTCCTCCTCTTCATCAGAAGCAAAAAATCCAGTTTCATCTTGTTTACTTTCTTTGGTCCACTCAGCTTCATCATTTGGGGTGGTTTCACAAGTCTCCAGATCCTCATCCAGGGCAGCGTATTCCTCTATGGACAAGCCCTCAGGAAACTCCACTCCTGCCCCCAGAGCATGGGCAGCCAGGTCAAGAGCAGTGTCACTCTGTGCATTTGGCAGGTCATTTTCCCCCTGTGGAGACCTGAATCCTGCTTCTTCATAGCTTTTAACAATGGTCTCTGGGGTTACAGCTCTCCAGCAGAGATGCAGTGTATCAACAGCATCTAGCAGAGAAAATGTAAATTCTTTGCTACTTTCAACAGAACTTAAGAATTTCTTGATAAGACAATGCCGATACTTGATTTTAAGGCTCTTAATAACACCTTGTTTCATGGCTACAAACCCGGAAGACAAGCACGATGGGAAGAATGCTAACTCAATGGACTTCAGGTTCTTCACTTCTGGGTGTGCTGGAAAAGAATCAACAAAAATCACCACTCTTCGTTGCTGGGCTTGAAATTTCTCATCAAGCTTCTGCATCCACTGTTCAAATATGGCTGCAGTCATCCATGCCATTTTGTTAGCCTCATAATACACCGGCAGTGATTTGATACCTTTGAAACAACGTGGAGTTCGGTTTTTGCCGATAATAAGCAAGGGAAGCTTCTCTGTGCCGTCCATATTTGAACCTACTGCCAGCGTTATCCTGTCTTTGCACAGCTTTCCAATTGAACAGGTTTCTCCTTTAAATGCAAATGTATTTGTAGGTAACATTCGATAAAGCAGCCCAGTCTCTTTGACATTGAACACGTTTTTAGGATGATAATCATTTAAGTAGTAAGGAAGCACGTTTTGGTACCAGACAGTGGCAGGGTCTATAGATATACCCGTGGCTTCTACAGGTTGTGCTCGGAATACTAAGCCATACCTGGACTTAAAACGATCCAGCCAACCATTGCTGCACTTAAAATCATTGTGTCCCAGCTTCTGGGCAAAATCATTGGCTTTTAGACGCAACATTGGACCATTCACTGGAACATTGAGACACTGGGCAATCCGATACCATCTCATCAATGCCTCTTCCAGATCCGTATAAAATGCTGTCCTCAGCCTTTTTCTCTTTGGATCAAATCGCAAAGATTCAAAGGCTTCCAGAACTTTGTCTTTGTTTTTCATAATGGAAGACAATGAATTTTTCTTTATTCCATACTCAGCTGCGATCTCTGCCTTCTTCTTGCCACTCTCCACTGCGTTGATGATGTCAATCTTTTCCTCAATGGAGAGACTCTTCTTTTTCTTCACTGTTACTGGCTGAGTCACGGCATCTGCAGGAGCCTCTGCCATCTCAGCTGCTGCTCGTGAGGACCTCGTCTCTGACCTCCAGGTACGAGTTTCTGTAATCAAATTCGGTTTTCAGTACAGTATGGACCAGGGCTTCCTATCTGTCATTTCCTGTATTGAAGCTGGTAGGTATCAACAGTCTAATTCTTTAGGAAACCAACAACTAGACATATCTTTTCAGAGCCTGAAGAAAATTCTATATGCGACTAAAAGAGGCACCTCCTTCCTTGGGTCTTGTGTGGCTCAATTTATAGTTCTTCAGAGTTCCAGAAGTCAAGCTAAAATAGGAAGCTCATTATGTCAGACCTGCCCAGTCCTGCTGATGTATTTTTGGAGCTGCAATCCTTTAAGACGATCCATTTTATCCATGCATGCTTCAACCTTTTACTAATTCTCCACAGCCAGCCTCAAAGATAAGAAGAAACAAACTTTCAAAAGTGTCCATGCCAAACATCACCTGTGAAGTTCTAGTTTCTTCAAAGTTACAGGAAAAAAAAAAGTGGCATGCTCCTTCTACTTCTTTCTTGAAAATGACAGGGGGAAAGGTAGCATTTTAGCAATATGTCAACTGGATATCAAGAAAATACTGTGCCACTCTGTGCGACTAAGAAACGGGTGGGAAGAAGTTTCTGAAACGCAGCGACCAATGTTTGCAGGTGAACACTTACCTCCTGAACGGCTCTCCACGAAACCTCCCCAGCTCTGCTTTGTGGGTCTGGAGCCTCCCTGTGCTTTGAAATACATACTTCTAAAATAAATCAGACAAATTTAATCTGCTTTGAAAATGTGTGCTTGCCAAAATTAAAGAACTAAAAACGATCCTGGAGAGATCCTTGGTGGCTGTTTTCTCCATGAGGTCAGGCTGTAGCCTCTGACTCCTCTAAGAGGAAAAATAGACAGTCAATTTTTAATAGCACATGGGAGACAGACTTCTTCATAGGAGTCTGCTTCATTGAAATACTAAATCAAGTGCTTGATAATTCCATTAAAAAAATCTAAACCCTAATCTCCCTCAAAGCTAAACAATCCAATAATTTTCACATCAATTTAGTACAGAACCTGACTGTACACAGGTCAGTGTTGCTTGAGAACATGCATCATAATAAACACATTATTAGGAGGATATAACGTAGAAAAGTATCCAGACTAAAAGAGGAAGTGGAATGACCGTGGTTCCTGCCCTCTCAGGCCCTCTGCTGTCGATGTGTGGAAAAGTGACTAGCCATAGTATCAAGACAAGGGCTTTGGTGCAAGATGGATCTTGACAAGTGCCTGCCACTTAGTACTTAGTGGTCCTGGGTCACCTAACTTAAAAGCCTCAGCTCTTTATCTGTAAAAGGGAGAAAACTGCAGGACTGACTTCAGAGAGTTGTTGCACACTCAGTAACACTCAGTGAGAGCACAAGGGAGACAAGAGCACACACGCACGCACGCGCTTGCACGCGCACACACACACACACACACACACACACACACACACACACACACACGCATGCACACACACATGCGCACGCGCAAGCACACACACACCCTCGCATACAGACCAGGCTGGTCTTGGACTTGCCATCCTCTCTCAGCCGCTAAAGCACTGGCTAGATTTAACAGTGTGCAACCACCGTGCCCAGCAGCACTTGTTCAAGTCCCCAACGAGTGGGCTGATCATTTCATCATTTCATCTGTAAATTGCAGATTTGGGGACATGTATAACAAAAATAGAGTGGAAACAGTGCTCTGTGTGTGTGTCGGGGGGGGGGGGCGTTGGGTGTCCTTTTTTTTACTTGAGACAAAGTCTCTTATTGAACCTGGAGCTCGCCATTTTCATCTAGGCTGGCCGTCTGTCTCCACACCCACCCCAAGCACTGAAGTTACAGGTGAATGCAGCCATTGCATGGCGTATTAGGTAGGCGCTAGGGCTCCAACACAGGTCTTCATGCTTGAGCAGCAAGCACTCTTAGCCAGTCAGTCCTCCTCCTTGCCAAGCCTCATTCTTTTCAAGCAGCAGCAGTGAGAACAGCCACAGGACTCCATGTAGCAGGCTTTCGTGGACCGTCTGCCCTCAAATCATGACACGAAGACTTATCATTAATTATGAATGCTCGGCCTTAGCTTAGGCTTGTCCCACTAGCTCTTATAACTTATATTAACTTGTTTCTCTTCATCTGTGTTTGCCTCGGGGCTTTTTACCTTTCATTCTGTATGTCCTATTCCGTGTCTGCCTGGCTGGCTGCTGCCTGGCTGCTGGCCTGGGGCATCTTCCTCCCCTCTCCCTCACATGCCCTCTCTCTTCTCTTCTCTTCTCTTCTCTTCTCTTCTCTTCTCTTCTCTTCTCTTCTCTTCTCTTCTCTTCTCTTCTCTTCTCTTCTCTTCTCTTCCTCTTCCCTTCTTCTCTTCTCTTCTCATCCTTCCAACCCCCTACTAGATTCCTCCTCCTCCTCGTTCTCTCTGCCCTCTAGCCCTGCCTATCCCTCTATTGCCTAGCTATTGGTTCACCATTTTACTAGACTAGTCAGGTGGCTTAGTCAGGCAAGGTGAAACAAATGTAATACATCTTTAAACAAATACAGCATAAACAAATGCAACACATCTTTACACAGTTAAAGTAATATTCCACAACAGCTCCAGACAGACTCACCGTCACTTCCCAGACACTAGCTCTCTTGCCAGAATCTATCTGTTCTGGACATGCTGTAGCCAAGATAACAAGAAGCTAATGTGGTAAGTGGACATTATTATGTGGAAACCCTAGTCTTCTTGCTGTGTCTCCAGGATTCCCAGACAACAAGCTATATCTTTTTGCTTGTTTTTTAGATAGGATCTTTCTACAAAGTCTAGGCTGACCTTGAACTCATAATCTGCATAACTCAGCTTCTTGAGTGTTGGGATTGCAGATGTGCCCAGCTCACATAATCTTGTTAAAATTCTTCTGCCCCTGTTTTCTAACTTAGAGGAGTAATTTTGAATAACAGGAATTACAGCATAGGTTTTTTTTTTAAATTGATGTTGCAAAAAGGTCTTAATAATAACATCAACAAGGCTTTGGTTTTCAAATCTCTTTGCTGCCTATATGCCAAGTAACTAAGGAGGAAGGTAAAACTGAGTTTTAACAATCACACAGTTATAAGGTGATTGGAACGCAGTTCAGAATCTAGTCTTTTTAATGTCCAGTCTATATTTTATTCTTTATATTAGAGTATACTTGAATCATATTGATAAGGCCTTCCCTGACCATAATTTACATTCTGTGTTCCCTGCACCAATCCAAGTCAGCACCTATAGTACCCACATAGAACTTACAACTTTAAAATTGTTTATTTTATGTGTATGCATGGGCCCAGGAGTCTGCGGAGGTCAGAAGAGGCACTGGGTCCCCTGGGACTGGGGTTACAGATGGTTAGCTGCCATGGGTGCTGGGGACCAAACCTGGGTCCTATGTAAGAACAAGTGTTCTTAACTACCGATCCACCTCTCCGGCCCTAACTACACATACTTTAAAGGCAATATCATGTTCCTATGGAAGAATGGATCATTATGGATGCTGTGAACAGCCATGGCATCTTTAGCTAACTGTTAGGGAAAGCTAGGCTTTCTAAGTAAACAGGATTTGACTGAGTCCTCTCAACTCCTAGAACATTGTTCATTTATATGGGGACTCTTTGCATATTCTCTTATAAATCTGTTGACTGTCTTTTAGGTAAACATTTTGCTCTTATTAGTTTGATATTAGCATTCAGAAAACATCTCCCTCCCTCCCACCTTATTTTATGTGTCAAAAAAATAAACAATGGCTACAGAAGTGATAACTTGAATTTCCTCTCTTTGTTCATCCTAACTAAAGCAATTAAAAAAAAACCAGATTGAAAATCTCTAATCTCTAAATCTTAAATCCAGCACATTTACAGATTAAGGATGTTCACCCTGTAGAATCTATGCAAATATTCCGAATAAAAGACTCACACTCTGAAATACTTGTGTGAAGCACTTCAGATAATGAACATTACGCTCGTATACACAATCACAGAGACCAGGTCATCTTGATCAGTACCTTTAATTAGGAAGATATTCAACAGTATCATTTCCTTCAACAACAAAAGTCAAATTTCCATAGCAAAATACAACAAATTCCTAAAACAATCAAATATGTGATGTAAGCCAGACAAACTAGACCTTTCCCCTAGAAAAGTACAAACACGGTACTACCTAATTAATAAAATGGATGTTATCCCACCTCCCATAGAATAATGGCTGGTGTTGGTTTTTGCAAGAAATAATGGCAGTAACTAATATTCACTGAATGCTCATCCTTTTAATAAGCTCAGAATTCATTTCCCCTTTGAACATATTAAGCCGAAAAATGCTGTCCTATGAGTTAGAAAATATTTTCTCAATGCCAACAATTAAACTAAGTAATAGGCCTTTCCCTAAAGAATCCTACAAGTGATAAGAATAATACGAGTCCTCTTTCATGTTTCTGGTTTTCCCTATGAGAATGGTAGCATCTAGTGTTGTCCAGGATATTGTTACATAGGTTCTTAGGAGGCACAGAATTGGTACAAAGCTTATGGAAGGCAAATTAGCAATACGAGAGGAAAAGCTTTAAACAATAACCTCTTAATCTAGAAAGTCTGTATCTACAATTCTGTCTGGAATTGGAGTTCCAGGTAACTGTGAGCCATGTGGGTGCTGGGAGCTGAGCCTTTACAAGGGTCTACAAGGCCCTCTCTCAAGAGCAGTAAGTACTCCAAACCAGCCCAGCAACCATTTATGATCTCCTATGTGTATGGGTCAGAAGTCCAGGGAACTCACTTGGTCTTTAGGGTCTCACAATGCAGAGATCAGGATGCTAGTCTCTTATGGAGAGGCTCTGAGAAAGAATGAGCGCCCAGTCTCACTGAGGTCATTCCTTGCTGTGTAGGACTGAAGCCCCCAGCATTTATTTGGTGGCTGTTACCAGATCACTCTCTGCACTCACAGCCCTCCGCCCTCCATCATGTCCTTGTCTTTAGTCTTCACGACAGAGAATACTCTCTTGTCCAGGCCCTTGTACGCTCTGACTTTCTTTGACTTCCTCTCCTAACTACTTTTAAAGGGTTCATGGGTCACGTTAGTTACACTCACCCAGATTAGCTAAGTAACTCAAAGCTAACTAATTAGCTACCTTAATTACACCTGTAAAAATCCCCTTGCAGGTAATATTACATGATTTTGGAAATGTTATCCCATCATGTTTACAGGAAGGGAATAATACAAGGTGGAAGTCATTGGAGGTCAGCCTAGATTCTCCATGGCACATAGTATTCTTTGGGTTATATATTACAGACAGAACTGGAAAAATCTAAATGTACCACAAAAGGGCTAATTAAATAAATTAAGAAATATCTATATATTGAAACACTACTGTACCACTAAGTGATTTTTTTTTCTGAGACAGAGTCTTACTCTATAGCCCAGGCTAACCTCAAACTTATAGTTTTGGCCTCCTCTATAGCTTGAGGTTACAGGTATAAACCATCATTCCTGGCTGGAAAGATAATATTTAATGGCATGAAGAAAATTCTATGACATAAGTTTAAAAAGCAAAATATGAATCTATATGCCAGAAAATACTGAAAATTACATTACTTGGGTGAACTACAGATTCTTAATAACAATTGTTATATAAATGAAGAAAAAATATGGATAAAAGTCTTTTGGTGAAACACCAGCCTTTCACCAGAAATACTGAATGTTCCTGTTAGTAAATGAATTGTAAGTTCAGCCTCCCCACCCACATTTCCTCTCTCCTTTTTTAAAATTCTAGTGTTTTATTTGTACCAGATTGTACAAGAAAACGGAAGCATTGGGAGACATAACACTGGCAGTCTTCCCATTCAGAAAATCTGGGGAGTAGCACATTCTTCTGTTCCTATCGGGAGTTCACAGCTCTCTGCGAAGACCCAACACTTCCCAAACTGAAAAGCACTCACTTTTGTCTTTCACTCCTAGATGGCAACCATGCCCACGTAAACCTGCCCATATCACAACACTTAACGACAGCAGCTACTGGTCTTCTGGAAGTTTCCTGCTGTGCAACACAGAACACATTCCTACAACTCAAGTAGTATTAACTTCCTGGTAGTTATCAAAGGATAAAAATGAGTCCAAAGTTCAGTCTGCCAAAAAGGAAAAGGGAGCCAATGAAATGGCTCAGCTGCTAAAGACTTGCGGTACAAGCCTGATAACCTTAAGTTGGGTCTTCTGGTTTTTTGTTTGGACTAGGGGAAACATATATGAAGTCAGCAGTACAGGGCAGACCAACAGGGGTTCAAATTAAGGGCCGTGGTGCAGGGATGGCAACAATGAACCTTCACAGGGAGGACAAAACTGGGTTTCTAATGGAAGCAGGAGTTGAGTCAGTGTCAAGGATGAGTGGGAATGAGCGTGAAGACATTTCTGCAGAGAAGACTGGACAGCGAAAACAGATGCACCAGAAGTCCCAGGGCTAGGCACATACTAAGCAGCTCTGTGTAGTCACACCTTCATCCCCAGGCGGAGATGGATGGTACTTGACTAAATGGGCACGCTGACTCAGGATATATCGAGTACTGATTGGGTTGAAGGGTCACACAACAGAAAGCAAGCTTGGGACCAGACCTCTGGAAGCCTTGCATGCCAAGTAGGGAGGTCAGGTTCATCCAGAGTGCCACCAAGGCCAATCGGAGGCTTAGCGTGGAAAAGCAACAGTCATATGAGAAGGCTCCCCTGTTATCAAGAACAACAAATGATCTAATGAAATAACAAACGAGTAAATGACTCCTCTAGGTAAAGCCTAACACCACTAAGCTCATCTGGTGTACTTTATACATAAGTGAGTGAAGTTGTACAAGTACCTATTAGGAAGCTTCTGAAAAGTCTAACACCTTTACATTTCACCCTGACCACCTGGGAGCTTCTTGATATGTCCCGATATGCAGTACCCTCTATTAAAGCCTTTATTTCCTGAAGATTACACTGTGTGATCAGTAACCTACATATCTCTCCACGAAGAGAAAGCTACTGATGAAGAGTGCTGGGATTTTTGACACATTATTAGAATTCTCAGAGACAAGATCTGGACATAGCAATTACTTGTTCTTGAGAAAATAGCATTGATAAGCAGTATGCAACATTCAAAATCTAAATCTGACACTTATTTAATGCAAAATGGAGTAAAAGCATTAGCCACTAATCTGTTCTCTTCTTCCCTTCCTGATTACAAAGTGAAAGACAGGCAGTCTACTAAAGTTCTCCTCAAGCTCAGGGAATAGAGAGTGTCTAACTTTGAAAAAGGTGAATGAATACATTATCTCCGTGTCAAGTTAGTCTGTGACAGCAAATCCTTTTTATCTTACCTCTCTGATCAGTTGAGAGGAGTAGGAATCTTCTAGTTTTCATAAGCAGAATGGGCAGGCAGAATTCTTTGGGGCAAAAAGGGGAGAAAATAAGAAAAAAGGAGAGAAAGAAGACAGGGAGGAAAAAGGAAGGAAGGGAAAATAAATCTCCATTTCAGTAGACATGGGTTTAAAAGTTTTTCAGTTGATATCAAAAAAATTGATCTCAAGTAACACAAAAAGAAAGAAATAAATAAAAGAGACATCTTCAGGGATCCTTAAGGAGGCACCCAGTTCTGTTAAGTACTAATTGTCTACACCATTCATCCACAACTGGACATTAAGAGACAGATTTTTTCAAGTCACCCCAGAAGCCCTGTAGATAACATTTGCACTTAGCTATATGTCCTATTCAGTTCCTACACAGTGAGAGGAGTTACTCAGAACGGAAGGGCCCTTTATACAGGATTTATGTTTGGGGATGTCAGCACTGTCTTTGTGAGAGTTGACATGCTAGAGATCTAAGACAATATTGTTACTTAGGTTTGAAGTGTATTAGTGCATTTACATAGTGTCACTTTTAACAAGCCTGGGCAAGGCACCGCACAGGAATGCTGAACTCCCTGAAAATGTGCTCTGGACCGCTGGAAATCACTTTCCTTCCAGTTTATGCTGGGGAGGGAGGATTCTTGGAGGTACCCCCAAAGGAAGGTAGGAAACGACCAAGAAGCGCTCTAGGAGAAGGGATAGTTGAGCGGCGATCTACTTAAGAGATGATGGGGATAAGCAGGAAAGCAAAACTCGGTTGCTGGCAAAAGAGGAGCCGCAAAGAAAAGTACTATGGGTCCACTGTCAGAGACACAGAGCAGGGCAGGAGGGCACAGAAACAGAGCTACCATCGTGCGCTCACTTTCTGCGGCGATTGGCATGAGTGCGGTGATCGCGGCGGGGAAAACGAGGGTCAGGCTTCCGTGCTGCTCCCGGCTTGCGGCTTATCTTCGCTCCATCCCTTCCGCGTCCCGTCCGCGCGGCTGGAATGACCTTCTCCGTTCTCTCCGGTGGCTGACCAAGCTTCGGCTCCTCGGTGGTGCTGTGGCGGTGAGATACGGCCATCCCCACCCTCCGGGCAGCGGGTGTGAGCGTGGGAAAAGGACAGGAGACACCGGGCCGAAGAGCCGGCTGCACCTCACCAACTCGAACCAGCCGCTCTACTCCACGCCGCAGCCCAGTTACCCCGGCAACGGCCCGTGCCGGTTCCCGGATGTAGTCGCCGGGGCCGTAGCCCGGGGGCGGAGCCGGGAGGACCCAGCCCCTGGAGAGACGCGCGCGCACCATAGAGACGTGGCGGCGCCCGGCTTGGCTGCTGGAGAGAGAAAGCCAGAGGCTGTCCAGGGCCCAAGACCCCGCACTTCCGGTCCTCTCACTTCCGGCTCCGAGGCTGGGGTGCAGGCGCCGGAGGCCGGGTTGAGAGGTCGCGGGTGCAAGTGTCCCCCGGCGGTTGAGTCGCCCGGAGCCTGTGACAGCGGCATCTGCTTCCCCGCCCCGGAGCAACCGAGGCGCGAGGGGGAGGGGACGAAGGAAAAGCTCCGGGTCGCGGCGCTTCCGCTCACTTTCCGCCCCCGGCCTGACGCGATTCCCGAGTGCGGCGACCGGGAGAGCCCGCGACCGAGCGCGGCCGGCTCCCCCGCTGACAGACAGGTGAGGGCGGAGCCGCGGCGGGAAGGATGGGGTCGAGGTGGCGTGCTCGACGGCGGACGCGTCGCCTCCGGCTTCTCGCGCCACCAACTTGCTCCCGGGCACTTGCACACCCCCGGGAGCAGCCAAGTCCGCCCCTGGGTCCCTGCTGTCCCTCTGACTGGGTCCCGAGTGAAGCGGGCGGCACCCGCTCGGCTCAGCCGGCTCTGGGTGGGAAGAGGTGGCGGAGTCCGCGTCTTTCTGGACCCTGTCCGAGGGGGCCGCCTTCCTCTCCCCTCTTCCCTGCGCCCCCCACTTCCTCTCTCCCGCTGCGAGAGGGAGGGAAGGGAGGAGGTGGCGACTGTCCCACGGAGAGGTAGCCTGACGCCGGTGCAGGGAGGCGCCCTGCCTGAAACGTCCCAAGCCTGAGTGCTGGTGAGGGCGTCCGAGGAATGCTGGAGTTCGGAGAAGGAAATTGGGGCCCTGCCGTCTGGTGCCTTCCTCACGGCCAAGTTACTGCTCTTGACGCGTCTAGGAAAGGAAGTTTTCTTCTTCTTCTTCTTCTTCTTCTTCTTCTTCTTCTTCTTCTTCTTCTTCTTCTTCTTCTTCTTCTTCTTCTTCTTCTTCTTCTTCTTCCTCCTCC